ACTAAACAACAACAACAACTAAATCCATTCCTAATTGGACATAATTTCTTCCTACTTACGAGATGGCTTCTTCACGATTTTCTCCCCACGAGAAACAGTGACCAAACTGAGAGTCAGCAAACTCATGAAGTCCTCCTGCAGCGGCGACACTGAAATAACCCCAGACGTTCTTATTACTGCGAAAGTTCAGTTCCTGGACTGTTCCAGAACTGGGTTTAAATCCCTAGAATATAAAACAGAACATTATTTTTAAACACACACAACCCCAATGACAGGATTGGAATTATTCATTTTAGAAGTCATTATTTCTAAGAGGGCAAAGGAAACACATTGCAAGATTCTACATCCTAGCTAATCCTATTTTAGCAGGTGCATTATAATGTGTATAAACATTCTTCTGGGCCAAAACAAGCAGAAATTGTACTAAATTGTTGAAACATAGAGTATTCTTCAAAGAAATCCATTCTAGCCCCCCTTCCAGTGACTACTGATCATGCTTGGTCCTCATTGTGGCATTTTAAAAACAATAATAGTAACAAGAATGGTGATCCCATAAGTTAAGTAGCGTCATACCTGAGTTATTCTTCAGTGAGAAACCTCTAGAAATTCCATGAGTTTAGATTAAACGGGAAAGTCAAAAAAGAAGACAGTGGAAAAGATAGCACTTCTGTACTTTTGCCAAGAAAACTAGAGGAGTGAATCCATAAAGTCCCCAGGAACTGAGCTAACTTTCAAAGGGCCATGTAAACCTAGCCTTGTTCCTCCAGGGAGAATGGTCCATAGTCAAGCCACCACCCTCAAGAAGACTCCTCCTCCTCCTCCTCCTAATTATGGCCCAACCTTCCTTTTGTTCCTCAAAGAGCATCTCCACCAAGTGATCTTAATACACTAGTTGATATTTGAGGAGGCAATCTTTTAAGAACTTGGATCCTCAGCTGGTAGGGTAAATAGACTAAAAAAGTAGACTAAAAACCTTGTTTAGCATCCAGCAACAAATCTAATTCCCCTCCAGACCAGATAAGGCAGAAAGTGGAGCTGGTGGATTAAGACCTAGGTTTCAGCAAGGGAGGACCACCATAAATCATGCCTTTTATATTCCACAGAACCACAACTGGCTGCAGGTGCATAGCTCCATACATTCTTTAGATGGCTCTCTTCTGCTTTAGGAGATGGAACTTTGCAAGCAAAGGAGAGTAATCGTGCTCGTGCAGGAAGGCTCACCTCATCCGGGTTCTCACTGGTGATACGGGCTGCAATCACGTGGCCCCGCGGACAAGGCATGTGGGCCGGGTTGTCAAACTCAATAGGGGTGTCCCCCCAGGGGGCAGCCCCATACATGACCCGGATATCTTTGATCCTGTGGAGAGGAATTCCCATGGCAATCTGAAAAGAGGAAAATACAGTCCTTTTCATTCATATCTGTAATGGTTTTAATGGTTGAAATTGTTCGCTGCCCAGAGTCGCTTGAATTGAGATGGGCGGCTCTAGAAATTGCATAAATAAATACATATTTAGATGCACCGTACAAAGAACTTCCGCTATCTCCACTACGCATAAGTCTCCCTGCATCTGTGTTGTGTTGTGTTTTTCTCTTTCTTCTCTAGAGCAGCTGAAAATCATCTGTAAGTATTAACCAAGACTATGATTTTGGAGTCATTTGAATTCCTATTTTCTTAGCATCACAATGTTATAAAAAGCTGATTCGCGCAAAGGGATTCATCCTTTCATGCCCCATTGTGCAGTCAGGATCAGGCTACTTGAGGGACTGTCTCTCCCAGTGACATCTGCCCATCCCTCAAACACCCTTCAGTCCCTTCCTTTAAACAAGGCCATCTGATGGGACCCAGGCGGCGTGCCTTTTCTGTGGCAGCCTCTGGAATGACCTCCCCATGAAGATAAGGTTGGCCCAGACCTGTTGACCTTCAGAAAGACATTAAATCCTTGACTTTTTTCTCAGGGTTTGGGGCTGTGATGATCGGAGTTCCTGTCAGGGGGGTGGGGTACGAATGTGAGTTTCTGTCCTCCTATCTGTTGGGTTTTAATTGGAATTGTTTGTCTTGTTTTGTGAGCCTATTGGATATCTCACAGAGTTGCAATGTTTGAGTTGGACAGCTATATAAACTCTTTAAATTAATCACTCCATCACCAATAGTGATCATTTCCTGATGTATTTTGTGGAGACCTTGCCCTGGTACATTTAAATTTTGAGAGAAAGTTTTTGGCCTTACATTGGCTAGACCTCAGAAAGTTTTTGAAACTGGACTGAAACAATACAGCTGCAAAAGCAGATTTCCTCCCAAATTTTCAGTCAAAAATAAGGCTTAGTGCTCAGAGAGAGAGAGAGGGAGAGGGAGAGGGAGAGGGAGAGGGAGAGGGA